TGACATACGAGCAGAGCAAGATTCAAGTTCCTTCTTCTTTTTAACATGAAATCCATCTGGTGCAGGGACTTTGCGTTCACATTTCATATTAAGTAAATATTTTTTATTTTCAGTATTGTTTGTAGACATAGATATTTCCTTGTCAGAGTTGCTTCTTGAGACAGTTTTAATATGTAAGGGAGAATCTTTTGAAGAAAGCAGTTGTTTCCTCACTGTTTTCTTTCTCTGTGATGTATGATGCAGAATTTGCTATTTTAAATATAACATGTAAATTAAATTAACTCAGAACAGTTACTAAAATATTTTTAAATATTCATTACATACTTGAAGTTTCAGAAAAAATGAAATCTACATCCTGCAAAAACAATGATTCAATTTCGATACATGTGTCTTCATGTGTTCCTTTGACTGATTTTAGAATCGATTGTCCATCTTTCGAAGATGTTAAAAATCCACTAGTTGTGGAAGAGACTGGAAGTAGCTTCTTAAAATTTGATGTTCTGTTTGATCTAAAGGCTTGTGTCCACGATGCTAGAAATCGGTCCGAGATCTCGGACATAATTCTCGTACAGAGGTCTCGTATCTCGGATGATTCTATAACGTCAAATGAACCAATAGCAATCAACTTATTCTATTAAGCGCATGACCTGTATTTCTAACCTTCAGAAATAAAATATCTACTTTGAGAAGCGTAGTAAATTATTGAATTAAAAGCATTTGTGCAACGTGTAATATTTCTTTTATAGAAAAGAAGGTATAAAGTATAAATGTCAAATATGACTTTTAGTTAATCATGTTACATAATAATCATTGCCCGATATATTATATATTGTACTTATACGGTCAAAATTGGATCTCGACGTCTAATATAATATTTATATGTAAATTTACATTGATCAGTTTATGCTCAGGTAATTCATTATTGCGTTTATATTCGAAAGTAACGGCATACAAATTTAAAATGAACTAACAATTATAGATTTACATATAAGTATTAAAATACTATTAGGCACCGAGATTCAGCTTTGACCGTATCGGGCGGTGACTGAAATATAAATATTTACTATTTCATTTTTTAGATACATTTGATTATAAACCTACAAAATTATATCTCAATTATAATAAAATTATAATGGTATCCTCCAAAATTAGAAAATGTATGGCAATCGCTCTGATTGCTGAAATTGCAGAAAAACAACACATACAAAAATGGAATAAAAAAAAGAGACAACAACGATCCATTTGGACACCTAAATGGATACTTGAAAGAAATCGTTCATTGAGAGGTATAATCAACTTAGCACATAAAGAATTAAGAATTGAAGACCAAGAATATTTTCGAAGATTCTTCAGAATGCGGATTGACTTATTCGATAAACTTGTACAAATAGTAACATCTTATATACAACGTCAAGATACTAACATGAGGGAGTGTATATATCACCTAAGGAACGATTATCTCTCACCCTAAGGTTTTTAGCTACTGGCGAAAGTTACAGAAGTTTGGAATATGCGACAAGGATTCCAGCATGTACGATTTCTCGTATAATACCAGAAACATGTCGTGTTATATATATATGAATGCCTTCGAGAAGATTACTTTAAGGTAAATAGGATGTTATTGTTAATAAATCTTACAGACAAACATTACTGGCTGTGATAAATTGGCCAGTAATACTTTTCGATAACAAAATAATATATAACAACATTAACTTGGTATACTTTGCATATCATCTAATCAATGAATAATTTATTTAATGCTTTTACAGACACCAAATACAACTGTGGAATGGGAACAAATTGCAGATGATTATCAACGCTTATGGAATGTTCCTAATTGTATTGGTTCCATGGATGGGCGGCACATAGAATTTAGAGCACCTTCAAAGGATGGATCATTATATTACAATTACAAAGGCAGTAATAGTATTGTTCTCTTAGTACTAGTTAACGCGAAATATCAATTCACCATGAATATGTGAATGTGGGAGTTAATGGTAGAGTAAGTGATGGAGGAGTGTTCCGTGATAGTGACTTTGCAAAATTGTTAAATAATGCACAAAATCCATTGAATGTGCCACAAGATAAGTCATTACCTGGCATGAACGAACCTATTCCATATGTCGTATTAGCTGATGCTGCTTTTCCGTTACAAAATCATATATTAAAACCATATCCATCACGAAATTTATCTCATGACGAACGGATATGTAATTATAGAATTAGCAGAGGTAGAAGAGTTGTTGAAAATGTGTTCGGCATATTAGCAAATAAATTTCGAGTTCTTTTAACACAAATACATCTACCTGTTGAAACCGTCCAAAATATAACACTTGCATGTTGTGTGTTACACAACTATCTTATTAAACAAAATGCTGCTTATTTGTATACTGATATAAATAATGAAAATATAGAACATACTATAAGACCTGCTGAATGGAGAAACAATATACGCAACTTAGAAATTATAAATATAAGATCAAATATGAATGCAATTCGTATTCGCGATATGTTTAAAAACTATTTTAATACTGTTGGTAAGGTTGAATGGCAGGAATATATATGATATAACTTTTTTAAATATAGAATTATATTTTAATTTGTAACACAATATTCTTTTGCAACATTGTAATAAAGTTTTATTGTAACAAATATTTATATATAAATTATAATATTACTTTACAGTTATTGTCCTGTACCTATGTTATTTAAAATAAAATATATTTTATAAAATGTAAGGAACACAAAAGTAATATACACATATGTATTACATAAAAATATCAATTTAAAATATTTTTTTTTTTATATTATCTTATATTTTTATATTTATATTCTTATATTTTAAGCAGGTACGTTTGTTACCGTTAATAAAACAAATTCAATATCACAAAACAATAATCACATTTTTTTAACATAAAGTATTCATAACGTAGTATATACAAAGTAGCAGTAACATAGTTATGTTACAAAATAAACTATTATCTATCATGAGAGAGAGAGAGAGAGAGAGAGAATATGAATCTATTCCATACATCATATTAGCTGATACTGTTTTTCCATTACAAAATCATATACTAAACTAAAACCATATCTGTCAGAAAATTACTGATATTTATAAATAAAATTTCTGATAATCAAATGTTACTGATATTTCGTATTTACTAGCAACATAAAGACATCTTACTTATTTCATCTTTTCTCACATTATTTTTTTATCGTCTATGTTTGTTACTATCTACGTTTAGCGTCGAGACACTACCATGTCTTCTAAAGAGACATCTTTTTTTGAATATAAAATATAGAAAACAAAAGTAATATGCGAACATTTAGAGAACATATGAATATGAAAATTATATATATGCATATATATGTAAATATAGAAACATAGGAACGTAGGAATAGGGTAGGGCGGGGATAGTTGAGCCACTTTTTCTTTAAATTATTATAAATCTTCACACAATTATGATAGACTAATGGTAAATGCTTTAAAACGTTGCATGTTTATCTACCTCAACAATTAAGTACTTATAAACCCTTAATATATCTCGTAAATTAGAAAGAAATTACGTTAATTGCAAGGATGCAAAGTGGATCAATATGCCCCACCAATGGGGTATATTGGGCAACTCTGAAGGGCAAGTTGAGCCATGAAGGTAATTAAGGTGTGTATTTAGGTATGAAGTAAGGATGTTAATAAAATTAGGTTTATTCAATGCGTTTTTACACGAAGTGAATGAATCTGGCAAAAAAGAGTGTCCCGCGAACCAAGATATTAATTGTTAAAGTTGACAGATATTCAGGTTATGAAACCTGTCATATCGATGGTTATACAAATGGTTATATATATTATAAAAGGTTATACAAATTCTGTTTTATAAACAAATTCTCTACTTTAGAAACAAATTCTCTACTTTAGAAACAAATTCTCTACTTTAAAAATACAAATTCTCTGTTTTAAAAATACAAATTCTCTGCTTTAAAAATACACATTTTCTGCTTTAAAAACAAATTATTTTATATATAATTTTTTTTCTGCAGTAGAGAATTTGTGTAATGGAAGCAAAAAATACTTATTTTAGCTTCACTTACACGTTCTCGTGTCTCTTTCTGCCATTCATTGATGTAACAGATTTCCTAACCTATCGTCAACTTTAACGATTAATGTCTCGGTCCGTGGGTCAGAATGACAGTTTTTTTACCAGATTCATTTATTTCGTGCAAAAATGCGTCGAATGAGCTTAATTTTATCAACATCAGAGGTAAGGAGGATAAACTTAACAATTACCGAAAGAATAGATTTCAATGTATAAGCGGGGTTAGTTGGGTCACTTGACCCAACTAGTCCCATACCGATGTCGGCTCAAATATGATTTTATAACAACAAAACTGTAAATCAAATAACAACTTTCATGTTGAAATTACAAAGTATACTAATAACTTGTAATAAAAGAGTATATTTGGTTTCTTTTAAATGTTTCAATTATTACGTAGACCAAAAAGAATACTTACGTAATGACTTTACTTTCACTACACAAAACTAAAAAAGCTGTTATATCTTTCGACTGACGATCGAGCGAAGACGGGAGTACTCAGCGCAGTAATCTGCATCTCCGTGCTTGTCTGATGCAAGAGTGACGTGTTTGTACACGCCTCGGTTACCGATATATTTAACGTTGACCAATGTGCCCCTATGCTTATATAGCCCCGCTCTACCCTACTTATTAAATATTTATGTCATCAATTAATGTAATAATGTTTCTTTGTAAGTAGTTCAATGTTTTTGGATCTTTAATTTTACGTAACTTACTTTCTAAATACAATATCCAGTATTTTAATTCATCTGCAGTATCATCATTTTTTGATATACTTTGGATAGCACTTGTTGCTGCTGTCCAAAATTCATCTTTTGATGAATCATTACTTAATATTTCAAATTTTCTTTTTTTATGTTTTGACGTTACACTTTGTGATTTCATTGAATTAGTACTACATGATGGGATTGGCTGAAGATTTGACTCAGTATTCTCTAGATGAAACAAATTATGAAATAAAAATTAAAATATTGCAGCAAAATATTAAATCATTAGATAAAATATATTAAGTGATTTAAAATATAATAATAAGAAAAAAATTTTTTAAATAGCAATATAAAATTTTATTACCTTTATTGGAATCTTGTGCTTTTAAAATATCAACAACATCTACAAATTGTATATCTTCGTTGTCACTTTCTTCTTGTGTAGTGCTTTCTAAACTGCTACGTTGTTGACTAGACACCTACAAATTATTATAATTTAATAGTTACGTATACTTTATAATTATGTAATTTATAATTGGCAAAAATATTTTACTTAATCTACTTACTGTTATAGAAGATTCTCCTTTTCTTTGAGCAATATGTGGGTCAAGAAATTTCATATCGTCAAATAACCACCATGTGGGTTTATAAATATCATTAGTTGACATACTACTTGATTTTGATGCTTTTATTTTGTTGATGTAATCTAAATACTGCGACCTTAAATTATTAATTTTCTTTTTAGCAGCTTCTACAGTTAAAGGTTGTTTTGTTATTTCTTGGTTTTGTTCACATATTTCTCGATAAGCGATCTCTCTTTTGGTTCGGTTGTGGTATTCAGCTGATTTAACAACATACAATGAAGGATGTTGTTCATATAATAATAAGAGTGTTTTTATGTTGTCTTTATTATCCATATTCTTAACAAAATTATATTTAGCCGAATAAACACGTTCGCCCGGCCTACTACTGCCTGGAAATATATCAGTTAACCTTACATACAATTAAACGTCATGTTCAATTAAATGCATTTTCCATGTAGAAAATTTATGAGCAAATGTTAATAATTAATCTTGTTATTTAAATGTATTAAATATTTTTACTGTATACTTACAGAATATTTGTTAAATATTTTTATTGAATGAATAGTAATACTTGATTACGAGTACGCAACGCGATGCTGCAAATGCTTTGACGTGTTTTTTAATTAATCAGTTTGTAAAATTCTTTCTTTAATTGATTTATCAAATGCTTCAAAGCATTTGCAGCGAGACTTTGACTACAGCTTACATTTCCGTATTTTGTCTCTCACCAAAAATTACTATATAGCACAGAAAAATGGAACATGATGCATTTTGTTTTGAGACGTCTAGATACAATTTTCACTAGAAATGTCTACAGGGTGTCTGGTAGCGACCGCAAAATATTTCGTGCGTGTGTAGAACAGACTACACTGACAAGTAACACTACCCAAGTGCCACTCCGGGATTGACTTCTATCTATGCAGATTTTGTAAAGAATCGAAAAATATTTGATACGTATTTTTTTATTTCGGCAGACATGATGTTTTAAGGGCTGAAAATAGGGGTTGAAATATTAAATTTTTTAATAAACGGGTGTATTTCCGAATAATGCTGTTATGCGATCTAGCTGTAATTTGATATATTTATTTTATTTATTTGATGTGCTTATTATGAATATGATAAAAAAAATTGTCGCCAAGGTCATTTTCAATTTGTCATCAAATTTCTAATATCTTATTCTCAAGTCAGTAAAACTGTCTCCGCACGTGTATGAATTGCTACTGTATTTCACTTGTTTTTTTTCTCCGTGTACATTAAAATTAATATATTAGAGTTGAAAACAAGTGACTGACTTGAGAATAAGATATTAGAAATTGCTCTTCTGGCAAGAATTTAATCAAAATTTGATGACAAATTTTTGGGCGATTTTTTTGAGTTTTGACCTTGAAAATGACCTTGGCGACAATTTTTTTTATCATATTCGTAATAAGCACATCAAAATACATAAATATATCAAATTACAGCTAGATCGCATAACAGCATTATTCGGAAATACACCCGTTTATTAAAAAATTTAATATTTCAACCCCTATTTTCAGCCCTTAAAACATCATGTCTGCCGAAATAAAAAAATACGTATCAAATATTTTTTCCACCGATCGCGGGGAGTGGGGCAAGCATCCCGCTGACCGCCGCGAGCCACTAAGCTCGAACGGCACGATGCGCCTGATAGGCCATCCCCACTCCCAGCGGCCCGCGCGCCGTGCGATCGTGGCCGGTGGGTTGTACATTCGGCAGTAGTAGGCCGACCGGACGCTCTTATTCGGTTATCTTTAAATCGTTAATATCTCCTTAACTATTGCTGACACCGCAAAATGGTACAGGACTTTTCGACTCAGTGTAGTCTGTTCTACCCACGCACGAAATATTTTGCGGTCGCTACCAGACACCCTGTATATCAATTTAGTAATTTTTCCTTGGATAGAGATCTTGAACCCGAGTTCTAGAATCGTGGACACAAATTTTCGAGATTTCTATACGATATTTTCATCCAAGTTATCTGTGTCCACAATCCGAGAACTAGTAACTTTGTCTCAGATCGAGATCTCGGACCGATTTCTAGCATCGTGGACACAAGCCTTAAGACAGTGAAACAAAAATTAAAATATTATTTATAATTAATACATCACGTAATTGTATAAAATTAAGAAAAAATAAGAAATATATCTTATAAATAATTTAATTTGTTATTTACTTGTCACGCATATGTGGTATGAGAAATTGCATATCACCCCAATATTCCCATTCAATTCGAAATTTTTCCTTCGTATCAGCTCCGCTTCCACTTGGCATTTTCTGCTTTAATTGTGCTAATTTCCGACTGAATACAGTTCTTAATGATTTCCATTTTTTTTGCACTTGTGTTTCTGAAATCAAATCCCGATTAATTTTAATCAACGACTAGTAGAATAATCAATTGCTATTGATTCTATATTTTTGTCAATGAACAGTAGTTTCAGCCTATTCAGTAATATGCTTTTTATTTTCTATTTCTTACTTTATACCTCTTTTTCCTTCTTTGCGACCGTTTTATCGACAATTGTATTTCTTGTCATTTTTCTTGTTTCTTCCAAGGTTTGTTAACTTTTATCTTGGGCGATAGAAAAAAAGGGGTAAAAGTAAAAAAAAGATGTAAAAAATGATAAAGTGAGAAACAGGAAATATCGTAGAATAAGCTTTAATAAAAGTTACTTCAGTAAAACAATACTAATATAACATAACAAGTAATGAATAAAATTACTTGCCTCATAACCTCAAGGCTGTATAATTGAGGTTATGAATTAATAAAAGTAATTTCAAATTTTAGACAAATACGATATGTAAAACGTACCTTCTCTATTGAGTAACGCAGCAATTATTTTCCAAGCGTTATCTTCTTTTTCTTTATTCCTAAAATCTTTTTCGGTTTTATCAATTAGGAATTTATTTGCCTTTATCATGCGCTATCATAGACCGTATTTCGAACTCTTACCATTCTTCTCCAGCTTTCTCAAGTATATCCCAATTTAATTGAGTAATAGTAATTTTAAACATTAATTGTCAATACGTGGTCAAATTTTAAAAACAATTAAAATAAAGGGCATTTACCACGAGCGCTCGATGTCTAATAGCGATTTAAATCTCCTTCCGAAGTCAATACTTAAAATTACATTCAATTATAATTTCTAGACGTTTCGACCTCATATCGGGCCATCATCAGTATATAACTAAAATTAACATATAATCCTATTACAATTGATTGAATAGTAATTTTAATTGTATACAAACTTACCTTTTTAAAAAAAAGGTAAAAAAAGCGCTAAGCGTGCGTGCTTCTCGTATGGAAACCACCATTTGGGCCGGTTACACCAACGTCAATTACTTAATCCGCCGTGGAACTGATGACTAATTGCGTTTGCTATTTGATGAAATTCTTT